ATTACACACGTGAATCCCAAGACGTATGCACACGTGTAATCCAAGACGTTATGCAGACGTGTAATCCCAAGACGTTATTACACACGTGTAATCTCAAGACATAAATTACACACGTGTAATCCCAAGACGTTATTGCACACGTGTAATCCCAAGACGTTATTGCAGACGTGTAATCCCAAGACGTTATTACACACATGTAATCCCAAGACGTTATTGCACACGTGTAATCCCAAGACGTTATTACGCACGTGTAATCCCAAGGCGTTATTGCACACGTGTAATCTCAAGACGTTATTGCACACGTGTAATCCCAAGACGTTATTACGCACGTGTAATCCCAAGACGTTATTACGCACGTGTAATCCCAAGACGTTATTGCACACGTGTAATCTCAAGACGTTATTGCACACGTGTAATCTCAAGACGTTATTGCACACGTGTAATCCCAAGGCGTTATTGCACACGTGTAATCTCAAGACGTTATTGCACACGTGTAATCCCAAGACGTTATTGCGCACGTGTAATCCCAAGACGTTATTACGCACGTGTAATCCCAAGACGTTATTACACACGTGTAATCCTAAGCCGTTATTGCACAGATTACCAGAATGAAATGATGGTCACGTAATTTCTTTTCATGTCATTACAATATATGTCAAATACAATGTATATATAAAGCACTAGCTTTTTGGAAGATGTTGAATTAACTTATGATGAGGGTGGGCAAGGGGGATACCCGGTACGGGTTACAGAAAATAACAAATGCATTTTACGGTTTTACAAGCAATAAATAAAAGTTCCATTTACAGTAAAAAATGTGTTTTTACACTTTATAGATAAAACAAATTCCTAATTACATTTTACAGTTTTTAATATATTTGTGAATCAAGAACAAAACATTACCACACATTGAATAATCCTCCGGTCAACCCGGTCTGCTGTAACAAATCTCCTGGGTTTGTGTGACGAATCAGGCCAGGAATTTATGTTGAACGTTAATGTGTGATTTATTTCCGGTGTGATATAAGAACAATGTTTGATGAGGACACTTGCACAACGCATTAAATAAAGTGTAGATAATATTGCTCATTATTATAATATTGTCATTGTAAAAGTCAGAATATTATGGTACATCATGTTAACTTTGAATGTAAA